TTATCAGTATATGTCATGGCAACCACTGTCAAACTGACTGAAATATAAATCATGATACTATCATAACACATTACTCCTCTGGCAAAAAGACGGGGAAAAGACTAAAACGATAGAAACTACTGAATTACATATAATCCTGTCAATCATGAACAAAAGCTTGCGATATCAAACAATACGTATATAAGCGCACCAAACTCTCATCTCAAAAAGACATAAAAAAAACGTTACAAAGGTGATCTACTAAACTCAAAAAGCGTCAGAAGTATTCCGGAAACAACACGTAAACAAAAACAACTCTTAAAACGTCGATATCTCTGTACATCGACAAATCTCAAAACTCTTTAAAAAAAACACGTGGGGGCATCATTCCTCCCATCATATTCCGTACTCATAAACTCATTAAAACACCATAAACTTCACAAAACTCAAAACACTGTGTTGCAAATACTTGTCCACTGAGGCGCGCTTAAATCGTTATAAAGGACCTCGAATGTCACTAAATATCATTTCAAAACAAAGATCTGGGCGCCTACATACATACAATCCAACATCACTAAAAGAAACGGTAAAAACGATAGGAAAAGCAAGCAATACATTACATTACTGAACAATAGGGTTAGGGTTGTGGAAAAGAGTTCAACGTCCTGAGTTACAGTGTCCTTTACAGTGTCCAACGAGCGATTCTCTAAGCAATACACAGATAGCTAAAGTTCTAATCAAAGTCTATAAGCGTCTCTTCTTGTCGTCGCGTTAGTCCGGGTCGTTCTTTTTCTTCATCTTGTCTTTAATGTCGCCCAATTCTTAATTATACAGTCCTATCCGGTACTCATCCTTCGTAAGGGGTTCAGAAGTCTTCATCTCTTCAGCGTCGTTCATCGGTGCCATACTGGTAAAGTCGTTAGTCGTCAAGCGCGGTTTTGTCTCTGCCATCGAGCCAGTTAGTTCGGTTCGCAAGAAAGACACACCTTCGCCATTTCACTTCTCTTCACAGGATGTCAATGTGTGTTAAACACCTGCCCGGTTTCTCCACCACGTATCAGGGGGAAATTCTTTCTGTCTCTGGGTTCTCCACACTTGTCAGGGGGGAAACTCGTCTCGTCTCTCTATCTCGTCCCCTTGAGGTACGGGATCGGGAAAGTCACTTTAACTTTACAGTCAAATAAGGCACACACAATGAAATACGTTTCAACTCTCGTCTTAGTCGATCTTTTGGAGCACTCTATAAGACACAGCGCCCTGGGGAAAAGTCCCCAAGACTCTCACAAGGCTGAACCAAGACTCGCCCAAGACTGGACTGCCTCAAGGCTCGCCCCTGGACTGGACTCTCGACTGCCCAGGACTGTACTCTCTCTACTGCGTCTATCGTGCTGTGCTCCTCAAGACCAACTCAAACTCTCTTTATTCATTTTCAAAACTCTAACCAATTACAAAACAGTAAAAAGACTCTAGGGCGTAACCTTCAATCATAAAGCCAATCACACTAAGTACTGAATAGGTCATATCTGTTGATTAATCGTTCACTACATTAATAACTATGAATATAAACTGTCAGAATCGCGACGGATATCTCGTAATTAGTTCTAAATCACTGAGCCAAGTTCCGTCCAAAACTTCAAATAGACCTAAACGATGACAGACATAACACAGCAATTCAGCTAATAATCAACTAATTAAGTCGGTTAACAGATACGCGAAAACAAATTCATGACAATAACAACAACTTAGCTCAAATAAACACGCAAATCTACCAACTTTTCTATTGCTTTATACAACATTTCAAGCTGTTTTAACAGCTTAGAATAATTAGGTGCAGACTGCAAAAACTGTTTTTTTTAATTGAAAATACGAGCATATTTTAAAACTTTCTATGAACTTATAAATTTCTAATAATTATCACGACTTTCTACATAAAATGTTCGACATTAGAGTGGGAAATAGTGCACAACAATTGCTTTCTTCTCTTTTCATTGTGTACGGCAAAACCCCAACAAAATATATCCCGCTGGTTTTCACAGATTGTCTCCCATGCAAGTACTAACCACGATGAATTGATTTTTATTTTTTTATCGATCAATCGCATTATTAAATGTTTTATAGCACTATTACGTGCATTATAGCACTATTACGTGTTTTATGGCATTGTTACGTGCATTATAGCACTATTACATGTTTTATAGCCCTAGTACGTATATTAAAAAAGTATTACATGTTTGATAGCACTATTACGTGCATTATAGCACTATTACATATGTTATATCACTATTGCGAGCATCATAGAACTATTACATGTTTTAAAGCACTGTTGCGTGCATTCTAGAACTATTACATTTTATAGCACTATTACGTGCAATATAGCACTATTACATGTTTGATAGCACTATTACGTGCATTATAGCACTATTACATGTTTTATAGCACTATTACGTGCAATATAGAACTATTACATGTTTTATAGCACTATTGCGTGCATTATAGAACTATTACATGTATTATAGCACTATTACGTGCAGTATAGCACTATTACATGTTTTATGGCACTATTACGTGCATTATAGCACTATTACGTGCATTATAGAAGTATTACATGTTTTATAGCACTATTATGTGCATTATAGGACTATTACATGTTTTATAGCACTATTACGAGCATTATAGAACTATTACATGTTTTAAAGTACTATTACGTGCAATATATAACTATTACATGTTTCATAGCACTATTACGTGTTTTATAGAACTATTACATATTTATAGCACTATTACGTGCATTATAGAACTATTACATGTTTTATAGACTATTACGTGCATTATAGCACTATTACATGTATTGTAGCACTATTACCAGCATTGTAGAACTATTACATGTATTATAGCACTATTACGTGCATTATAGAACTATTACATGTTTTATAGCACTATTACAAGCATTATAGAACTATTACATATTTATAGCACTATTACAAGCATTATAGATCTATTACATATTTATAGCACTATTACGAGCATTATAGAACTATTACATGTTTTATAGCACTATTACGTGCAATATAGCACTATTACATGTTTGATAGCACTATTACGTAAATTATAGCACTATTACATGTTTTATAGCACTATTACGTGCATTATAGAACTATTACATTTATTATAGCACTATTGCGTGCATTATAGCACTATTACATGTATTATAGCACTATTACGTGCAGTATAGCACTATTACATGTTTTATGGCACTATTACGTGCATTACAGCACTATTACGTGCATTATAGAACTATTACATGTTTTATAGCACTATTACGTGCATTGTAGAACTATTACATGTTTTATAGCACTATTACGTGCATTATAAAAACATATATATACAAACGATTTTTGTTTAAGTGGTTGATATTTGAAATACCAATTTTGATACTGTAATTATTAGTTATTTTTACAATTATGTAGATACGTAATATAATTTTGGTCATTGATAACACATCTATGACAATTTCTACATTCTTTCCGTGTTTATACTCGATTTGCATTTCCATTCCCACTAATGACTACAATCGTATACATTACAACATTCACTGTTCAAACCCTTATCGACCGCGTAATAGCAGCTTTCCGAGATATTTAAGGTAAATATTTTACTGGTCCGTGAATCGCCTTTCTCATATTGATTTTCGCATTCTATGTAATACTTTACATAATTCGTTAAGTGTTTAACACATCGCTATTTGTTTAGTATGTGGTATTGTACATCTACTATACTTAAAAACCTCTTTCACCAACATCACTGTGCATTATGATATAAATATATACAAGTTACTAAAGTACTTGGAGTATAATACTAGAATATTTTCATTAACGTTAGTTAATACACAGGTAGTATATATTTTTTATTTACTTTCAACGTCCATACATACATGTAGCAGTCAGTTCGAATGGGGATTCATAATGACAAATGGTGTAAAAGTATTATTATTTGGTACAAACACACACGCCATGGTAATGCGCTAATCTGATTTTATCTTATCATATTATGCAACACAGTACTTAATGTATGTTTATCATTTTGCCAAAAATTGTGTTTGGTGTAGGTAAATAGCATTCAGACTTTAACTAATTAATTTAACGACTACTAGCATAAAGATACAATATGATTTATAAATTGAAAATAATTAGTTGATCACAGCTACACCAATGGCATCGTAAGGGAATGTTGCTATCATATGAATATATTAAGTATTTATCTCCATTTTACAATCTTCTTGTCTGACAACATTTCTCCTTGTGGCTGACCAGCATTTGGAGGTAGTAAAGCAAGATAGACAGGAGTCTCTGCTCCTTCATCGGGAGTCTTTGTTCCTTGGTGGCTTGACATGTCAGTCTGCACATGGCCAGGACAACACTGAAATATAAAATATTGTAGCTCATTAGTCTGCATTAATATATAATTTACAGTTTAGAAATATACAATACAAATGAATCGATATGACGTGAAAGATAATGACAATGGTAACACTATTCCATTATTGTCTATGCAAATTGCGTGACAATATTATTTTACATCTTTCAAATAAAGAACGATTCATTGGTCACTCACTGCATTAATAAGGATGTCTTCTCGTGGGTCATTTTTCAAATCACGTGCTTGGATTCCAGTTAAAACAATTACACCAGCTTTAGATGTACCATATGCAGAGTTAGGATAACCTTTCTCAGTGTGAGTTCCATCGCTGGCAGCACTTTAATATAAAATGGTGTCATATTAGTATATATGAATAGTGCAGGTACATATGATGTATGTGGTCATATATGCAATGACACGCTGTGTCAGAAACTGGCAATATGATACATAATGAGTTGTGTGTTAACTTACTTCACAAAATCTTCAAGAAGAGACACTAGCTCAGTTTCTGTGAGATCAAGTGCCTTAAATTTACTAGCACGTTCAGAACTCATCTTATCTAGAGCACGTGTCCCAGAACCACTTGCAACATTAACAACTCTGTAACATAGAAGTATATTAAATAAAACATATACCATTTCAATGTGTTTTGATAAATTGCATTGCATCAATTATGTCATATCATTGCATTGAGTAAAGCCTGCATATCATTTTGTGTTTGGCATGACAGCTTACGTATGAACATTACACTCATTTTACAAACGAGTCACACTGAGTATCGACCCCTTGTCAATGGCGCTTCTGCCAATTCATTGTTAAATGTTATAATAATAACGTAACCACAGAGTTTGTCTGGTGCCACATATCTCTGTAAATTAATGGAATGACCTTCATATGTAATGGTTGTAATTGAAAGTTCACAGTCTATAACATGCCATGAATGAGACTAATATATGTTTGTATACTATATTATGCCCAATTATTCCAATATTTAGTTTACTGTTATCTATTCTATTACATGAATGAATGTACACTGAAATAACTACTCTATCAAACAGTTCATAAAATATGTTCTCACTATTTTTTAACTTTATCAAAGGTATATCGATAATCCTTACCTGCCATGTGGTTTGATCAGTGGTAATAACGCTTTACATACATCTAATGTTCCTGTGAAGTTACAAGCTATTGTATACTTGGCTTGTTCAGCAAAGGGGGTAACGTCTTTTACCTAGAAAAATATTATACACATGCACACTGTACGATTTTTAATTGTAATTAATAATAATTAGTTATTTAAGTATTAAGTATTTCAGTAAATGGGGGTTATTTTATGTCCACAATATAACGATTTCCATCTCATAGTTGATGACATAAACAAATAACATGTCGTGGCTGATGAGGTACTTTTTATTATCCTGAATAATTTCAAAAATATGTGTTGCAAAATATTGTATTTTTTAAAACATATTCTTAATCTCCGGTAGGATAACACAAAATAGAATTGTGTTGCATGTTATTATTGAACAACTTTACATTACTGGTTACATTATGAAACAATAAACATTCTCTTGTGATTCAGTGATTATTCCTAAGATGGATGTCTCTGTGAATTACAGTGACACTTGGAGTGTGAGAAAAAACAGCAGATTTATAGTGGGATAGTCGTCACCTGCGCACGATTCAGATGGTCATAGCGTGTCAATGTTTACAAACAAGCGTCTACCCAAGAGCTATGCGTTTTTAGCTTGTGTTGTTATTGTCGCTTGGGACTGAATTCCCGCGTGTGCGCAGATGACGACCCTCCAGACGACGCTTAGTCATTGTCTCAATAATGACACGTAGTATTATAGTCGACATGGTGCTGTATTTGATGAAGAAAAGAACTCGTTATACCTTATATGCTATAGATGCATTGTTGACAAGTACATCCAGTCCTCCATATTTATCTTTCAAATACTTCTGTAAATTATCAATACTTTTTTGGTTTGTGATATCCAACTGGTGAAATTTGGGATGAAGACCTTCTTCTTCTAAATCCTCCACAGCTTTCTTTCCCCTTTCTTCATCTCTAGCTGTGAGATACACATCACCATCAAACTGTTTGCACAGCGCCCTCACTATAGAAAATCCGATTCCTTTATTGCTTCCTGTTACCTGGAAAAGAAAATCCGTACCCCTAATTCTACCCCCACCCACCCCCAACTCAATTGTATATGGCCCCTCTAGATGTGTCCTTGGGAGGGGCATATACAATTTAATTGGGGAGCGTTGGAGGGTAGATTTTGACATTACTGTCAATTCATACCCGCAAATAGACCACGCTGTATCTTACACATCCTTGTGATTTCACAAAAAAAACGCTTACAACAGCAACGCGTGACGTCATGGTTGATTGTATAACATATAATATCCAACGTATTTTCTGTGATGATAACTTCGCAATGTGCCCTGGGGAATGTACAACAGGCCTGTTCAGGAATCGTAAGGGGTTTGACCTTCATGAGTTCATAGTTTTTAAAAAAGTGTCAACGCTGATGGCGATACGTGTGGACTTAGTAACCAGGGACGTACCATTATTTCTGACGGGTGGTAACTATAGTAGTATTCGGTGCATTTTCTTCTATATATTTTGTTTTGTTTTTTTACCCATTACGGATAAACTCGTTTTTTATTAAAATATTATAGGAGTGTATAAATGGCGAAAGTCGGGTTATATCGAAAGCCGGATTTGTTTCGCGATATCCGGCATTCACCATTTATACACTCACATAATATTTTATTTTATTTAAAAAACATAGGAATCAAAGTATTATTCCATTAACAATAGAATATTAATTACCATCTGTTCTCCATCCACTCCAGACGATGCACGTTGCCCGCTAAATTTGCAAGTGTTAAACGGGGGGGGGGGGGTCATCGCGCCGGCGCTGGAGTTCCAAGCGACGATAACAACACACGCTAAAAGCACAAAGGCTCATGGGTAGACGCTTGTTTGTAAATAATGACACGCTATGCCCATCTGACGCATGCGCAGGTGACGACTTCCCCGATTTAACAAATGTGCAGGGTTTAGTCTACTAAAACAAGTAGGTTTACAAAATATTTTCTTTATCCACCGGTGACCGACACTGTTACCCAGAATCAATCATTCTTTTGTCTTTGAAGGACATGAACGTGCAACGTACTTTTTACATTTTAAAAAGAAATGTTTCTTTTTTTTTAATGACAAGATCTAGGATTCGAACCGTCGAAAAAATAACCCTCTGACTCAGGTCCTGATAGCCCATCTACCGGTATAGAAATGTGTACACGTATTTTGGGTTTTGTTTTCATTGTTCGCATAACTTTTAAATACGAGTATTAAAGTTTTAGCAGGGAGAGTGTACTAGTGTGTTACCCTGGATATAGTATGTGATATTGACAAGCCTCGTGGCTTTTTGTATCTAGGTGCCAGTGACTCGCGGGAAGAAAACATCTTGATATTGTACAATTATAAATTTATATATAATACCTATTGTGTTGGCATTTAGAGATAATTGTTCATATTCTTGACTGCAATTTATGTTCGTTGTGAGTTCTTTACTGTGAAAGCTACACAGCGTGTCGGTAACAAATCCGAAACATTAGATGACGCTAAACGTTCGTACAATACATCTTATTTTCCTCGGATTGGATGTTGTTGTTATGATAGCGACTTCACGCTCGCACATATATTGTTTGTAATTTTAGCTTTTTCCACTTGAACTAGGAGACAGTTCAAATTTGTCAGAGGAGGAATGTGTTATGATAGCGACTTCACGTAACAGTTTGTAAGAGAGGGAGAGAGAGAAATGGGAAGAATAAAGCTGGACAATCTGTAATAAACTAATGTGTATTTGGGTCGAATCTGGTTTCTCTGCGTGTAAGTGTTATCAGCCAAGCGAGACGAAGTTCCCAGATCCCCAAGCAGGAAGCTTAAGCCCCTGTTCATAACATTGTACTGCATATGAATAGAATCATACACATCTCTTTTAATAGCCTCCGAGAACAAAGAGGTCATTGAAGAGGCCAAAGTGCAGAAAATATGTTTATTATCACCTTTATGACGTGTTCTATTTATATTTATTAAACATATAATATCTATAAGGCAATTGGCATTGTCTGTTCGCTCGCGACATCTAAAATAAAGCTGGCTGTCACGTGTTCAACCACATTCCCTCTATCGCGGACTGTTGTTCAACGTTCCAGGTTCGACGACCAGTCCGTCGCGTAATTACAGATTCATAGCCATTACAAATGGCTGTGCCTTAAACACCTCGGCGTCTTCAAATTGAATTTCTCTGTTATTACTTTTCTTCTGTATTTGCTTAGCAACATTGCGTACTTTGATATTTTCCGCTTTCCTTTCTTGGTCCGTATTCTCCGTATTGTTGGGAATCACTCTCACGTGGTACACCGTCATTTGTTCGGTAGGCGTCACCTCAAACCGAAAGGGGCTTTCATCTGTAACCTAGGCAAGACAAGATAATAGTGTAAATGAAAATATCCGACATATTGTCGCGACCAAGAATCTATTCCCGTGATTTTTATAAATATATACAAATGTATTTCAATTCAAACTAAAAAAAAGAGGTTTCTACAGTGAGTTTTATAAAGGTATTAATTTGTTTTATAGACATTTATAATATATTTATCTCGGAAGATGTTCGCCATTCATTCAAATCCAAAAAAAGACGCTCCCGTTGGACGAAAAAGACCATTTGGTTACGCCTGTTATTCATAAGTTTTACGGGTTTCTGCAGCATTGGCCGATTAACGGCCAATTATCTTACAGGTGCGGTGATTGTCGTCAACCATCAATTGCATGATAAAATATTTCTACAAAACAAATTCATATCTTTATTGTATACGATGGAATAACATTGTTAGTAACATTTTCAAATGCTGTGATTAACTAAACTCACACATGCGAAACTGCGTCAGTTGATTGGCTGACTGGATTCATTTTATAAAATATCGAAAAAATGGGTTTGTGGTGCGACAGTAAAATTATCTATGTTGTGACTTGTACTATACACTCACATATACGTCGTATATACGGCTGTGACCTATAAACACATTATATCATAAATATCACCAGAATAAATGGTCAACTCTCATAATAATAATAATAATAATAATAATAATAATAATAATAATAATAATAATAATAATAATAATAATAATAATAATAATAATAATAATAATAATAATAATATCCAATAATTGTGGAATATTAAAAAATACCTCGGCTAGTTTTGCTCGTAAAACAGATGGATTCACTTTGCACATGTCGCCTTTAAAACGAAGTCGCAGTTCTTGTGATTCCAAACGGTTCATCGGGGCAGACCCAGTTCTGCCTATTTGGGTTGATTTGCTCTGACCACATCCCATGATTGACTTTTTAAAACAATAATTACACTGAGGACCAGTATATTTTTTTTAAATCGCGGAGAATAAACAACCAACGCAGTAGAATGCGGTTCAGTAGAATCATGCTATGGAACTTTAGGTTCCCCGCATTTGGAACGTCATCGCGTGCACTTACGTGTGAGCAATCTCCTTCCCAGAGGCCTTTGCGCTTTACGCAATAGTGCCTCTGCCACAGGCAGCCTTCAATTTTGTGGTCAATCACCTCACTACGCACGGCCATTTTCTTGTACCTGTTACATCTGAAAACGTACTACAAAAAGTGGGAAAAAAACGTATGTCACATCCGAACTATTTATTAATGTCAGACCTCAGTAAAAACGTGAATACGAACCATTTTATCGCGGACTATGTTTTGCAAGGTAATGTTACTGTAGTGAAATGGCGCACGTGATACACTAAAACTTGGAAGAAAAAACGTTCTGTTATCGTATATAGTTAGAAAAGCAACATTAAAGACTAATTTTACTGAAAAAAGTTTCCTAACATTTCCGTTCATCTTGTATTCTGGTGAATAATTCAATACTATTTCTGGCTTGAACGGGTTCGATTTTGCGCGTCTAACAGCAATAGAACACACAGATTCTAGTAAGTTTATAAAGTTAGTCATTTATAATAGAAACTAATGCTTTGGCATGTACTTTTCTAGCGCAAGTCATGTATATTTTAATCTAATTAACAAAACATTTTATTCGGAGTCGGGGCGTGAAACGTCTTATTAAGAGTTTAAAGTAACCAAGTGACATACGCATAACTTTGTTATCCGACAGGGTCTAGTTCGAACATATTCGAATATGCAAATGAGTTCTATGCAAAGCTGCTTTGTGCAGTGATGATAAGTAACGCGTATCGAACTGTGCGGAGTTCGACGTGTGAGCACTTCTTTTAACAGCCGAGGTCATTCTTCTTCCCAGAGATCCTTGCACTTAGATCACCGAAAGTATCTCTGACACCAATCTCCTTCCCATAGGTCTCGGCGCTTTACGCAATAGTACCTGTGCCACTGGCATTTTTGTGGTCAATTACTTCGCTACGCACGGTCATTTTTCCGCAGTTGTTTCATTTGAAACCGAACTACAAAAAGTGGGAAAAATATACGTGGCAACCGAACTATTTATTTAATGTCTGACTTCTGTGAAAACGTAAATACGAACAATTTTATAATGGACTATGTTTTGCAAGGTAATGTTATTGTAGTGAAATGGCGCACGTGATACGTATATAGTTGAGAAAGAAACATTAATTTCACTGAAAGGGGTTTCCTAACACTTCCGTTCATCTTGTATTCTGGTGAATATTTCAATACTATTTCTGGCTTGAACGGATTTGATTTTCCGCGTCTAACAGCCATAGAACACAAAGGTTCTAGTAAGTTTATATACTAGTAATCTAATTTCCTAGCGTGAATCATGCAAGTTTTAATTTAACTAATTAAAACGTTTTTATAAAACCGATTAAAATAACCAGGTGACTTGAAAAAAAACTTTGTTAACCGACATGGACTTGTAATTCGACCATAATCGAATATGTAAATGAATTCTTTGCAAAGCTGTTTTGTGCTGTGACGATAAGTAACGCGTATCGAACTGCCAGGAGTTCACTCACAGTTTCACCTCCTTCAATACCTTCCAATCACCTAAAAAAAATATCCTAATTAAAGCTTAATAAAGTCTAAGTTTGTACTCGTTGATCTGCAAACAGCCAAAGTAGTCATCTTTGTTTATATGAGAACCATATGTCTCGCGCATGCGTGGCGTGGCGACTACCGCCCTTTAACAAGGGCCATGCGCCATCCTGCGGTAACCTGGGACTAAGAGGCTGACGGTAGAGACTGGAGTTCAGTATGTCAAGCGCAAAGACCTGTGCGAAGGAGGTTGCTCTGTCACTACACACCGCCATTTTGTGGTGAAACACCACAAGACTTTTACTACGCGTATTATTTGCGTATTGTTTGCTATTAGAGCGCTGACATGTTGATTTATTCCTACTGTTAAACAAGTTTTAAAATATTTTATCGATAGCTGATAATGATTTTTCCACAAACGTCCTGTCACAGGTAAAAATAGTTATAATTTACAAAAGAAAATAATTTTATTGCGGATTAACGGTTAATATAAAGGTGTTATTTGGTTCATCAAACCAAAGACACTAGACACTAGATTGCCAGGCGACGAAATATAAACAAACGTAAGCACTTCGTAGTATTGACGACTAAATCGTCTTACTGCCACACCGTTTGTATTTAATACGGAAAGTAAAAACTGAGCTTCTCACTTTAAAAATAGCCAACATTTACAAACAATGTGTACGCTTTCGTTGGGTTCGAAAATCGAACAAGGGCCTGCACGGCAATGTTTTGGTGGGCGTCCGTTGTGTCGTCACCGGGAGCGCTGTCCCATCACAAACCTGTGTCATATGACGCCTTACTAGCCGATTTTGGCTAAAATTCCGCTCCGCCGCCTCTTTACAACAGTGTTTATACGCCCCTGAAACGATTTGATATATCCGTAAAATACGTACCGACCGACGATTCACTTCTAAACATTCGAAATTTCGAACAAACTCCCGGCACACCTTGCGCGATATGCGTTAGATCGGTGTAGAAAAAACGCCGACCTGCAGCGTCAATGGGTGGGCGTCTTTAAACGGGGGGGGGGGGGGAGTTGCATGACACGATTGGTTGAAATAATCGTCTTATTTGCATAAATTAATATTCATGAGCAATGAAAACTCGTCTTTTCAGTAAAATTGTGCCAAAATGCTTTCCGATAGCATACATGTCAGTTCTAAATTGATTGATTCTATCGTTACGAGCTGAAAAAAATTATCGGAAAAGTGATGTAAAGATATTTTTTGAGACACGTTCTCGATCGGACTCCAGCTAACTGTTGAAAGTAAGCACATGTTTTCTCTTTACCATATGATCATAGCAAGTTACGAAATTAATGGAGAATGCAGAGGCACGTTTATATTTCGACTCTAGTACTATTGCTCAAAATTGCTCAAAATGTTTTCGGTGACTTTTATCAGTGACAAGTTACCTAATTAGTATGCATTTCGAGAAACCACAGTGTGTGTGCATGCGCAGTTTGAAATGGAACAGTTTTGAACGCAATTAAATCACGCATAGAACTCGGGCTCCTGTGACAGGTAATTTTGATGTTTAAAAACCTTTCACTTAGGTAACCGGGATTCGGTCGTTTTCCACGCTAGACTCACAAGAAACACACACAAGCTCCATTCACGTTCCAACTCATTCTCTGCTAAGTCCTTGGTTTTTCACCCGAGACAGCATTAAATCACTCTTTATTTCTTGTCACTCCTTAACCAATTACAATCAGTATAAGAGACTCCAAGGCCTTGCCTTCAAACAAACAACCAATCACATGAAAGTTTTACACATCATAATCAATTGATTAATCGTCAAGCTATTTAGAAACCCACTACTATATGTCAACACTAACTAATATTTATGGGGTAATAGTCTTGCAATAACATTCCACAAAGATACCACATTTGTTAGAATCGCAAACAAGATTGGTTTAGGATTACAGCTACTGTACTGTAATCTTTTAAAACTGCAGACTCATAAGATGTTTTTGGCTGATTTCGACTAGCTCGCCATCTGGCCTTGTCATTAACCTGTTATCAGTAGATGTCATGGCAACCACTGTCAAACTGACTGACCTCGTCATTTAACCCCTATCAGTAGAATGCCATGG